AACACCAGACCAACATTGATATGTTTTGGTTGTAGGCACCCTTTAAAATAACAGCATAATTCCGCTACAACTTCTTTAAAGTTGTTTGAGTGGTAAAGAAATGTTTCATGTCAAATTTTAACAAGGCCTTTAATGCCGAGTTCAAATCTGGAAGCAATGAAAAATCTTGTTTTAAAGTTTTGCAGTAGGTAATTATCGAAGTAATTATTTTTAAATTATGATTTAATTTTTATTTATACACTAACTTTTGCTTGAAAGCCAACTACATTACCACTGTTCTACGAGGGCTTTACTATTCAGTACCACTTCAATAACCCTTAAAAGTTGTACCGAAAGTATGTTGTTATTTTAAAGGGTGCATAAAACAATGACATTCATATTGGTCTGGTGTTTAACAATTAACAACCATAAGTTTTCTCCAGGTTGCGTATTGTACTCCTTCCTCCAGTTCGATTGTATATGGTCGGCTGTGATTGCATACTTTTCATCACAATTTTTTTTATGCGCATGCGTCAGTATCAGCCATCTTTTTCGTAAACAAGCATTTTAAAATGTCCACGTGAAAAAAATTATAATCGATAAATATTAATTTAAGTATATTCATTTAAAAAAAGAAATAAAAAGTAAAGTGTCTTAATTTAAAAATAAATTTTTGCATTTTTCTATACATATATGTAGCCAACTTAATTCGACACACTGTAGGTAATTACCTGCACAATATTTAACGCCAAATTTTAAATTAAGTTTTTTAATTCCGTTAACAAATGACCTAACGCAATAATATACAGGGTGCTTAAAAAAGTTATATTTCAAATATTTTCTTACAGAGGATACGTTTTAATTTATTAAATAAGTAACCTGTAATTTTGGAAGGGATTATTTTTTAAAAATTAAAATAAATTTTTAATCAACAATAATTCAGATATTTGATGTTTTTTTTTTAAAGTTAAAATAGTTTTACAGTATACTTTTTTTAAATAAAATGTTCGTACTGTTATTAATTTTTCCAATAACTTTATTTTGTACCTTCCTTTAGTCCTTTATGAGGGTTACTTGAAGAACAATTTTTATAGAGAGTTGCCAAATACCTGAGAATTCCCGGGAATAATTTTATGCTAATGTGTATTTCTTTGTTTTAACATTCTCTAAGTGTAGGTTAGGTTTTAAATTTTCCCTTTTATTAAACTGTATTTTAATTGGGCAATTGCTCGTTGAAAAATAAATACCTGAGAATTTCCAGGAATACCTGACAATTCCCGGAAATACCTGACAATTCCCGGGAATACCTGACAATTACCGGGAATACCTGACAATTACCGGGAATACCTGACAATTCCCGGGAATACCTGGGAATAGCCGGGAATACCCAGATAATACCTGAGAATTTCCTAAAAGATGTACACAAGAATTCCGAATTTATTTGTCCCTTGGACGATTGGAGGGCATTAGAGGGTAGACATGGGGCCGTATAACCAACACGTAGAGCCCCTTTGGTAAGGGATACACGTGGCGGAGAAAATCTTCGACTGTATTATATGATATACTAGGATATTATAATTGTTTTTATATTACTATCTTATTTGCCTGTAATAAGCACTACAATAACAGAATAGAAGCAATTTTTTGTATTTTACAACTTTGTTTACAATTCTTCCCTTGTATTATCCATCATCCATAAAGTTGCAAAATAGTAAGAAAAATCATGAACAAATATTGATTTAAGATCAATACAAAAATGTCATTGTATTTTTTCCTATGACCTTCCTTCTGGGGCCGATAACCCAGTAATTAAGGCACAACCAAATACTAGAAGATAAAAAATGTTTAAAACAGATGTAAGATTTCAGTAGCGTCCTGTTTTTGACTGAATTTTATTGTCTAAAAAAGTAGGGAGGTCAAAGGGGTGCGGACTCTTTCTAAAAACCTACAGAATTAAAACAATTGTATTCGCCGCTAACTCCCTGTACATTTTCATAAAAATATTGTAAGGATTATTTATTTTAAAAATAGTTTATTTATTTAATACTTAAGCACTACTATATTTCACACTTCTAATTTATTTATTTATTTTTACAAATAATCTTTACTTGACAACATTTATATTGAAACTTAAACTATACGACGAAAGAATTCACTTATATATAAGATCCAACCCTGACTAGAAACTCCATGCTAGTCTAGAAGTCCCTCTAAATTCTTCATTCATGCGTCAGACTGTGAGAGAAAACATTCTAGTTACTTTCTCGAGTCTTCGAACTGGATGGGCAACGAAAGCGGCACAGACATATGGGCAGCGACAGTGTAAAAACCGAGGTAAAAACAAACGAGACAGCTCGGCAGCTTTTTAGGGAGAAGTCCAAGGTCGGAGCGGTCTCTCACGATAATATGTTAAGCCATTTTAGAGTTTATCGTCCTGTAACTTTTTTACTATCCATTTTTTATGTAAGCAAGTTAGATTTAATGGAATTATATCCGACCCCAGAAACTGTGATTAAAGTTGCTGTACATCTTTTTGTTACACCCTATATAATAATTAAGTGCTTAGCATGAGAACTTTATACTACCACTGCTACTGTGTATACTTAAAGAGCCTTGAACTAAGAATCAATAATACATTTATATAACACTAGAGCTAGACTTGATAATAATAATAATTTGAGAATTCCATCTATTTAACGTGACGTAAGTCAAAGATTCATAAGAAATGGGTTCTAAAATGTATAACTTGTCGCCTAATATTAGAAATAGCCCACTTATTTAATAAGAAATTGAGACAATTTATTACTTCTAACATTTGACATTTTCAACGATTCATTAAAATAATTGAAAACTATTAAAAAACACATGCATCTATCTCTATTATAAGATTCTCAATTTTTTATTATCTTTTATGAATAAAATCTATGTTAGTATCTAGGTGCACTAAAATTATTTTTTATTTTTTGTAGTTCCTATTAACTCATAATATTATTGTAAAATTGGATGGTGTGAATAAACTATTAAGCCAATTCAATGAGAGTAACAATAAGAACAATAATTATAATTATTGTGTCAAGGAAGACATGTCATATTAATTGCAGGAAGCTACTGATAAATGTAATGAAAATATTTTTAATTAATTACATTTTATTGCTACAGGTTTAAATTCGTTAATTAATTCTTTGATAACCGTTTGTAATTAACATTATTTAAATATTCCAAACTGTATAATTATTCATAATGTACTGACTTCTGAACTGAAGTTAAAATTTTGTATATTTTCCAAATACATTTATAAAAAAAATTTGTTGCTTTTAGTATAAAATATCGTTTACAAGAAAATTAATTTATGCCATTTAGAACAATCTTTTTAGATCTTCAAAATACCCTCTTTTACATGATAAATATTGAATTATTTACCTATGGATTAATGCGGAGATTTGGGAACAAATGAATATATCAGTTAGCTACCTGGTAAGTATGGAAAAAGTATTCAGGGTGGCCAACTGTTCAGGATTTTCAGGATTGGTATGTACAGGTTCAGGGTTTTGGACACCTTCCTGGAAAATCTACGAGTCATGGATTGTAAAGGATTTTTTAATTCAGTCATGTTTTATATCCAGGAAAATTTATAAATATTGGCAAAGCCGCGATTAACTTTTGAAAAAAGTCAACTTCATGTGGGCAGGATTTTAAGAGACTTTTGAGACAACTTTTAGAAAGCCAAAATTAAGGTGTATACGAGTGTCCAGCTTATTATCTCTCATTCCGAGGTGAAACCCCTAATATGATTGGACTAAATATTTTTCCAGATATAACTCAATTCAATGGAAGTTCTGATCTAGCAGCTCACTACAAATCTCTAAGCAAGGTAAATGTCTTTATGGTTTTAAGCTCATTAAAGCCATCACTTCCCTTTTGGATTCCCAGTACTAGAGTTCAAGGAAAAGTTAAGACCGACAACAAGATAACAGTGAACTTTAAAAATAATCTGTCAAAATTTACTTTGTTTACAATTGAAAAGAAACAATGCAAATCGTTTTTCAAGACTAAATGAATTATATTTTATCTCTATACTTCAAAGAATTTCCCCCATCGGCTTTTAAAATCATGTATTAGCACTACGACCTATCCAACATTGCAAATTTCTAGGAGTTGAACCAGACCTAAACTCAAATTCAATTATAATTCCCAATAATTGAAATAAATATTAGAGAGTTTTTTATTGGTCAAGTTGTTTGGTAGTTAAATACCCCTATGAACACCTTTATATCTTGAAACTTTTAATTTGAATTATTTACATACATATTAGCTGTATTATACAGTGTCGGTGTCACTGAACAGTTTCCAATAGGCTTTGCACAAGTTCGTGTGAAAACTACAGAGAGTTAGAATTTGAGCCAGAAAGTGGTGCAAGGGAAAGCTGTTGATTCAAAAAATCCAAACAAGTGCATAAATCGTAATTTAATCATTATGCCTACATGTTATACCATACCGCAACATAAAAGGTCACTTGTGCCCTCTTCTGTCACTAAGGCACCAAGGGAATAGTCTTCCAAACCTATTTTCCTAAGGAAATGTAGGATTTAGATTGGCACAAAGCTGGGACAATCACCCATTTCTACTTGGTATGCTTCTAAATATAGGGCCCATGGATTCTGTCATGCTAAACTATGCCTACTAATGTTGAAATTTAAAATAATAAGTAGACTTCTGCTGCAAAAACACTTAACTTTGTGTGTTTTAAGCAGGATGGTAACTTTATGTTAATACTTAAATCATTAGAATACTACTAGAGGCAACTTTTGGCTAAATTTCCTAGCAAAGAATATAATTTAAAATTGTTGATATTCTAATATAACTTTATGTATAATATTCTAAGCAGTAGTCAAAATTTTTAATTTAGTAGAGTAAGTACCAATCTATAAGTCGAGTTTTGAAACAATAACAACCCTTAAATGAACCTGGAATTAATTACGGTAGTTGATGATGTAGACATAAAATAATAAAATTTGGAATACCTTTGAATTGTGATTCCCACTCCTTTACTGAATCCATTTCCATTGTAGTTAAATCACTTAAGTCATCATAACCTTCACCAGCTGCTGTGACATTGAAGGTAGCAAGACCTCTAGAAGCATCTTTTCCTCCAAAGGCTGCATAAGGACCACCTGTAACAAAAAAAATTGTATGTTTTATAAACTTTCGTCGCAACCGAATAAAAATACCTAATACACTATTGCCCGAAATAAACAGTACTGAAACTAAGTTGGTGGTATTTCTTTGCACATGCTATCATACCCAAGTTAGAGTAGTATAGATATGTCAAGTAAACCTCAAACAATTAATTAGTAGGGCCTAATTGTTAAAAATGGTGTTAAGTACAGAGGAGAAAGTGTTTTTGGTAGAGTATTATTTTCGCTCATACGGAATCGGCCAACATAAAGGTGCAAGTCTGCGATCCATGTGTGATCAATTGACGATTTATTAAAGGTTCCCCAAGTAATGCTGTAATTTTAAAGTTTACTAAAAGGTTACTAAAAAGTTTAGAAATAAGGGTAATGTATTGTGCCAACGAACAGAAAACTTGGGGTGTCCTAGTACAATTAACAACAACAATAACTTCCTGGCAAAGAATCCTAAAGAAGCTTGGTACATTTTCATATGTGATGCAGGTACATCAACAATTACATCCTGGACATTATTCCAGTAGAGAGAAATATTGCGCCACAGAATTCTTGCGTTGCATTATAAAAATCCTGAGTTTTTCAAAAATGTATGGTTTTTAGATGAAGCACTTTTTCATTTGTCGGGCCATGTGAATTATCGCAAAAATCGATTTCTGTACTAAAATATCAATAATGTTTCTTAAAAAACTAAAAAAAAAAAAAAAAAATAATAGAAGTTCAGTACTGTTTATTTCAGGCAATACTGTAAAATCCTACAAAAATTTAATAAACATGTATATTATGTAGGTGGCAACTCATAAATTTTGAAGAAATAAAGCTTAAGTATTTTTAAAATCATAAAAAATATTTGAAACATTGATTTCAAGTAAAAAAATTATATAAGATCTATTTATATTCACTAGAATTATTATTATTAGCCTTGTGTCACTTGGAAATTTTGAATGTTATTTTTTTAACTTATTTATCTTTAAACTTTATTAACCATATCAATTTTAATACTATTGAAACATAATAAAACAGGGTCTATTATTATAAATTGTCAGCCATTTGATATTCATGCTTTGAGAACTTTGTATTATACATTTAATTCAAATTATAATTCAAAAAAATTGGACTATTAAAAGAGAATAATTCACAGGAATATTTTAAAATATTTATGTAACAAACTTCAACAATGTTATATCATTTTATGTTAGACCAAGAAATCAAAAGAATGTCAATAATTTTAATAATAAATTACCAAATACTGTTGTATATAGTAGGAAACCTTAATTTACCTAATTAGATAGTATTACAGCAGAGCGTCGATAACCTGGATGTCAAAAAACCTGTTAATTCAGATTCAATTCTGGTGAAAAACAAAACAAAAGTTGAAGTGAATACATACATGCATATTTGTCAAACAAAAGCGTTGATGCTACAGGCTGAGTGTGGTTTTTGAATAAATTCATTATAATTAATGAATTTATTTATCTGCTTAATTATTTAACCACAAAAGTGAATTATTAACAGTTTTAACAAGTTTTCTTTTTGTTATGAATTTAAAGTTCCTTTTTTTGGTCCTTTTCAAAAATCTGGACATTTTAATAATATGTCCTCCTCAATTAAATGGTGTCTAAATAAAAAAAAATCAAAAAACAAGATATTTACATATATGGATTCTTATATTATTCTATAATCTTACAACCTGAAAATGCGGTATCTGAACAATTAACTAGTAAAAATACTTGAAACAATTTCGTGTCAATTTATTAATTTCCAGTGCTTAATGAAAACGCCGTAAGTGCTTTTTTGAAAAAACTAGATGAGGTATCAAAATTGCTTGTTGTCCAAGTGGCATATCATCACTCATAACATATATTTTCAAGAATGTTTATGCCTTAAAATTGGCAGATAATAAAAAAAGAAGTTGAAGCACAATGAAAACTATAGAACATTTAAATTAGGAATTTTAATTACTCCTTAACCTGTTTTAAATTAAAAACCAAGAAGCACATTAGAAAGTCTGACCATAAGTACTTACATATTCCAATTTAATACTTATTTAGCAAAATTTCAATTATGATTAAATGGATTGAGAAACTGCTGGCAGGGAAACAACAATGTATAAAATATTAAGCTTGACTTATAAAAAAACAAATCGAGATTAATGCGAACTAATAAGTTGAATTTAGTCTTAGTCCAACTTTTTCCTGTTAGCTCCTAAACTTTGTTGATCAATTTACTTGGGTTGTTACTCTTGAATAAACTATGGTTGTAAACGTTTATAATTGCAGATTAATATCCAATATGACATCATTACTAGCTTAATGATTATTAGTGGTTAATCTTACCTGGACCGTAAAATCTTTTTCCTCTTGTCACATCGTAAACACCGCCATTTACTGCAACCAATACTCTACCATCAGCCTGAGTACCATCATATTTCTTTAATTCTTCAACTGTGAAATCTTTTTTCTTTAACTTGGGCAACTCGGGTTCAGCAGGACGAACTTGTACATCCTTATTACGACTCTTAAATATATTGTACACTAAAAACAGTATTACACCAACTAAGGCAATATTCAAGGGACTCTGCACTATTTGAAGAAATATATTTGTTAATATTCCGGCTGATACTGTTGATGTTGATTCACTTGATTCAGCCGATTCAGCCATGTTAGGAGTCTACTTCTAAATAATTATTTATCACCGACCTTTATAATATATCTTATGATTATTATGACTTGACAACTTTTACGTTTTCAACCTTGCCACTTCACTTCACTTTACACACTGTCACCCGTCACCCACAGATATTTGTGACACATAATCTATGCTGCGTTTGAGAATCCACATCGGATGCATTTTTTACATCTCGAGCGTTTTTTTATCCACATCGGACACATCTGTCCCATTACATTTACGTATACTGAACCACGTGATCAAAGATTTTTTACATCTCAGATGCATCCGATGTGGATTCTCAAACGCAGCATATAGTTGGTAAAATTGAATTGATTGGCGCACCTGGAAATCCGAGTGACGGCAGAACAAAGCTGTTCTATGAACAAATGCTGCGTTTGAGAATCCACATCGGATGCATCTGGGATGTAGTAAATCTTTGATCACGTGATTCAGTGTCAATGAACTGGGAGTGGGGTAGAAAGCCAATGTGCACATTGTATCAATAGAACAATATGCGACTCTATGGGCGCAGCCATTTTTATTTGTCATCTCACTCGGGAGTATTTATGATAACCATTTTCTGTTTCACTTTGTTATTGTTCAATCCACATGCTGGTGGATCAGACAATAACAAAGTGAAATAGAAAATGGTTGTTATAAATACTCCCGAGTGAGATGAAAAATAACCTGTCTTTGCCCATAGAGTCGCATGTCAAGCCTATTGACAAGCATTCTACTCCAGTTCATTGTTCAGTGTACGTAAACGCGGCACTTGCATGTAACAACAATTGACATTGGGATCAAAGAAGTAGAGAGGGTAAAACACATACTTTGATTTTCTTTACTATACGGCGCAAGAGAGAGGTCCGACACGCCCAACATAGGGCCCGGCCATTTTGAACCCTATGCAACAGTTTATAGCTAAAGAATCAGATCGCTCACTCTGCGTCGGCACTTTTAATCTCAATGTTCCAGTTTATACACTGCGCAACTCGGATAATACAATATATAACAACCGCCTATAGTAAAACAGCTGTCTTCTGTGTATCCTAAATTTGTATCCCTGGAGTGGATCTTATTTTGAAACTTTCAACTGGTCCGAGTGAGCTAACTGATTCTTTAGCAATAATCTGTGACTCAAAAAATAATATTCACTGACACTGACAGCCGCAAGCAAAATATCAGGTGCGTTTTAATCATCCGCTTCTGCTTCCGGAATTGTCGGTTTAGTCGTTTTAACTTGTCAAATTAAAACAAGACAACCGACAATTCCGAAGCAGAAGCGGATGATTAAAACCATTGATAAGGCAACGTAAGGATACGTCATATGTATTATTTTTGATATACAAAAGTGGGACCGGTAGGCGTGGCTTTTGCACTCACTAAAATGGCGGAAGAGCAGAACCGGATTTACAAGTTTTTATTGTACTATTTCTGGTTAAATATCATTATTTGAACTATAAAAAAATAAATTTCCTTTTTATTGACATTGACTTAAAAGGTAGTGGAATGCCGAGGTTATAAAAGAAGGAGGTTTAAAAGCTTAAATATGCCCGGTTTTCAGCCGAAAGGTGCTGAATAAAGTAAATGAGAGAAATAAAATATAACTGATTTAATTATCACGCTATTAAGCGCTGGAGAATATATTATTTGCAAAATTGCAACTAATCAATGACCATGATATAACTAACTTGGGGCCGATTCCACCATTGGGTTTAACGAAGTTTAAAATGACATTTTTACATAAAATGTAATTTTAATCCTCAATTAATAGTTTAAACTTTAACACACTGGTGGAATTAACCCTAAAGCGTTGAAATCATTCACAGAAAAAATAAATAGTACATTTTTGGTTCACATAAGCGACAAAAGTAAACAGAGTTCGATTTATTGAATCAGTCGTCACACGTTTGCACTAGGGCACATAAATAGCCCAATATTTAGTTTTTTGTTTTTCTATGAGCCGAATGCTTCTGTCTTTAAATCGGAAAGTACAAGGTCGCAAATGTCAAGTAATCTAACCTTACTTTAATTAACAGCTTTCTCGAAATTAAGAACAAATGTTCATACACTAAAAGCTCGATGATCAGATACGAAACTTAATGCAAGGCTCGCGGAAAATGGCTAATAAGCAATCTCTGTGTAGGTAGATGCACTATTCAGGAAATCAAAATGTGGATTAATCTTACTTGGTCTTGGTACTTTTGTAGATTCAGATTGAAAGGTGTATATCTTCATGCAAGATATTCAGTAAATCAGCGAAGCCATGCTTATATTGATAGCACTTGTGGTATTATTACTAAATAAACAGGTCAATAACATTTTAATATCAACAAAATTAAATATAATTATGAATTTATAATGTTTAAATGTTAAAGTGTTTTAAAAACTATTTTTTAACTGACTTTATTAGTGTTCAAATTCGTACTACAGAAAATACTTTTTTATTTTTGAATGGAGGTATATTATTTATGTATGGGCCAGAGCCCATTAAAACAATACAATAATACATATTACTGTTATTAAATAATAATAAAATCCTTTAATAATAATAGGTAAATTAATTAAAAACATGTACATATTAATTATTAATAATAATTAATGAAAAATCTAAACATAACTACTAAATTCTGTGGGAGAGATATGTTAAGTCGCTTAGCAGATATTATTCTAGGAATAAAAGAATGAGAAGCACCATCTTAATGCATTGTTCGATATTAATTTATTCTTGAGGACTTTCCAATATAGCACAAACACATTTCGAAAATATTTCAAAAATATTACATTGAAACATTTCTGAAATGTGCCTGAAACGAAAAAATATCCTGTAAATATAATATTTCACAGTAATATTTCTGAAATAAAAATTAGAAATCTTTTAGAGATATTAAATAGTAATATTTCAGAAATTATAGCTTTTTTTTAAATATTATTAGACTAAAAAAAGACATGTCTATTTAAAATACACAAAATTCAAACATTGATTCTTAAAACAAACAAGTAAATAATTTTTAAACATTATTTCATAAAATATAAAGGCGAATCACTTCATTTCCAAGTCCTTTAAATGCACTAATTTGAAACAGTTTTTTTTTTAAATGCCCCAAGTAAAGAAACATTTACGATTATTACAACCTAATCATTAAGATCAATTAGAAATTTTATTCTAACTTATCAAGGGATGAAAAAATTCACAAACCGATATTCTACTCTCTAATATACCTTAGAGTCTAAATCACTTAACTGCACTATACTCTGCTTTAACATCACTGAACTAACTCAAAAGGCTTGATTCTCTTGAGTCTTCTTATTAGATTGGCATTGTTGAGGAGCTGGATAATCTCGAGGTTTCCATGTTGGAGCAGTCGTTGGTGACTACTGGCAAATGTTTGTATTGTATTTTCAACAGTCTCCACTTTAAGGTTCCTATGAAGATCAGTATTGTGGCAGTACCATGTTCCTTAATACTTTATTCTGGAAACGTTGAGTAACTTCGATGTCACTTTTACTGACACATCCCCAAAGCTGGCGAATCGCTTCATTTTCACCAATTCCTTTAAACACACTAATCTGAAACAAATTATAGGTTAGTAAAAAGGTATATTAATATTGTTTTAAATTAACTATAATAAAACAAACAATACTCAAGCATACACAAAACATGAAGCTCTACTTTTCAATCAGCTGTAGAACTAATAAATAAAATTGGTGGAAGGACCGCAAATGTAGGTTATATTTAAATAGAAATAAGAATATAAAATGCCTATAAATCTGATAAACGAAATAGCGTACGATTAATGTACTTCTCAAGAAAATGCTTGGAACATATACAACTGAATTTAGAAGGTTCTCAATTATGCTTCTTGACAAACTGTATTCACGCGCTACTTTTTTCAGGATTTTTTGGAAATCTATAAATATTATTTCGTATGAAAACGTATTTATTCCAATATAGGTGGGCCCAAAAGTTGATAGATGATTTTTTTTGCATTTTTAAAAGCATACTTTTACACATTTTATACAAACCTGTCATAATACTGTCCTGTATAATATTTATAATTTTGATACTAACCTATGAAACGTTATTCCAGTCGATTTTTCACAAAAACGTCTATCGCTGGAGCAGGAACGTATAACACAGCAAGGTATTATATACTTTATAAGTTTTTAACACTCAAAATTTGCTCAAACACAAATTAAATTCAAATTTAATTACACAAATGACACTAAAAATGTAACCTATAAAATTTGACAATTTGCACTCACAGTAATGGCGGACCGGTCCCACTTTTCGTTTACGCATGTCGTATCCCTAGGTTGCCAGATCAATGATTAAAACGCACCTATTAAAAATATTGCGCCAAGATGTAGGCAACACGTAATAAGGGTTCAAAATGGCGGAGTTTTCTATCTCCTTTTAAAAGGCACTCAGAAAGCTGCGCAGTGCGACCATTCTCCGTATAGTAAAAGAAAATCAAAGTATGTGGGGTAGAACGATAAAGTAACGTCTGCGCATCCATTGAGTGTAGACATTATGCCTGATTCAACCTTCCACTCTTATACATGTAAATGACAAGGAGAGGTTGCCCTAAAGCACTGTAAACAAATTCCAGGAATGGCTCTGTTCAGCGATTATGTTCATGTTTAGCTCTGTTTTTTGTTTGTTTTGTGGCTATTGTAAGCTTTTTTGCCGTCAATTCTTTGTTATCTTGTGTATGTTTGTGATTTTTTGTGCTTTTATTTCAATTTAGTATTAAATTATACTTGTTAATTATTTTCCGATGCACTATTTTATAGTTGTTGCACAAAATGTTGTTAAACCGTCCCTGAATCTTGTTTACAAAATGTGCAAAACGAAATTGTGCATAGTGTCTAGACTTTTTCATTGACAGTTATCATTCTACTCCTCTCCACTTCATTATTAGGCATTCCAAACAAATGAATTACCAGTGGGCAGGTTTGGTATATCTAAGGGTGGCGACATATATGGTGTATTCTATCTACTTTACGTAAAATCATGAATAATGGATTACATTTAAATATTTTATATCAAACATAATAAAAATAATATTTAAAAAACCCACCTATACATTTCTTCATAAATTGGCAGGCTTGGCGAGTACTATTTCGAATAAAAATAGCGTCCAAGTTGCAAGACTATGTCGCTACCCCCTTAAATATACAAGAATTTCCCACTGGCACCTATTGTTTGACAGGTCGTTGGAATGCCTAATTAGGCATT